CAGCACAAAACAAAACTTGCATATTCTTGCCAATAACAAACCCAAGAGGGGGAACTCAATCGTGGCGGTCTAAAACGATTTGAAAACTGTTGAGACTTAGAAAGATAGTTCCGGATCTGCCTTCCATTCTTGTGGGGTTTTGTGTAATAAAGCATGGACATTTTTTTCTCGCGAAGAGTCCAAGCTTCACCCAGACAGCATTGAATAGTGATAAGAGAAGATTTTTTTTTTCAATACAATATCCTTTGCTTGTTATCTCAGGTTGCATTTGGTGTAGTAGAGCTATTGAAAAGCCGCAAGCTAATTCCAGCATAGATAAACGTTCATAACTTCTTCCGAAACATTCTGCAGATGTGGAAGAGCTGCAACTGTCGCAGTGCATTCCTTTTCGGGTTGCCGCTTTGACCAAATGTGCTTCCTTGTTATTATCCCGGAGTTTTGGAGGTAAGGAAATCGTTACTCTTTGGCAGCGTTTATTTAGTATTTTAAACGTCCAGAAAGCTGAAGATATTACGAAATGGCAGCTGGTAGGCTAGAAATCTAGTAGAGGGAGGGGGGTGGGGAGGGGTTAGCAGGAAGCAGAGGTTTGTATCCTATCTTTCATTTGTGCAACGGGTTATGTGATTTGTTACTATCAACTGCGCAAGTGCATTTAGCCTAGCCACAAGCTCTGTCCCACGTTCCATACCCGTCAAACTTTCAGAATCCCAGCAGCACTTCCTTGAGCGTTTGCCATAGCCGTTTAGCTTCTTGGCCTAACGAATAAACTAAAAATTGGTAGTTCAATTTGAGAAGTGGATGTTTTTTCTTAGAAATCATGAACGGCAGATAGATAAGATTTACTTCTAAGATTTAGATTTACTACTAAGATTTCAGTCTCATCAAAAAAATCTTTTGCTTACTTTCGCTTTGAAATCCTATAGTATGCTATAGGAAAATACAGAGCACACAGACGATCAAAGGCTATTGCAGTGGTGATCGTACTCCCAGATTTCATCAGCGCTGCTGATGGACCTCTGAGTGGAACCACTATCCATGGGTTGTAGTCGAAAGCTACATCTGGAAATGTATAATTCAACATATTACGTAGTATTTTAAACCTATGCTTTTCGTAGAATCTTTCAAAGTTGTTTCTTTGGCAAAATCTCTTGAGTTTATTCGGAGCCCGGCATTCTTTCCTGCTCCATCCTTGAACACGGGAGTATGCAAGAATGTGCCTTTGTCACCGTTTGACCGCTTGGTCTCTAGGTGGCTCTTCCACAATCGCCTAACCATCTGTAGGC